GCTAGGCCTGTACACTGTACAGTCCTTTTTTTGCCCGTTGGTTTGTATTTCAATTTTCTACAGTTCGTGGGTGTATACCAACTGAGCTAGGCCCGTTGGTTGTACCGTCTTTTTCAGTCTTAAAGCTAGTCCTCTTTCTCCCTCCCTCTTTGGGAAGTACCTTTTCAATACTCACCTCCGTCTGGTGTACTTGTCTTCCCAGGCCCACGTTTGATGTCAACTCACGTCTTTAAACCTTTGACAGATTGAAAGTCCATGAACTGATGATTGCCTTGGACTAACTCACAGGAGCATCCCCTCTCCCAGATTGTGGATGATTTACCAAACGAAATTTAGAACGGGCGTAAATGTTTCGTCCCTCCGTTCGCAACCTGCTCTCAGGCCGTTGTGGCGCATTTCTGCGCTCAGGGCATTGTCTGCGGAATTATGATGAGTGTTTCACTCTCTTTTCTTGTTTCATACTCTGCTGGTCAAGTGCTCGTCCTCTACACTGAGTGTGAGGAATAATGATTCTCTTACCCTTTGTCCATACCTCCTCCTTGCGAGGTTACATGTAACCGTATTGGTCTCTTATGCATTTTGTTATTTGAAATGAAATAGGATGTGCTTTTTGACTTCTCCTCCTGCCCTCTTTTTTGTCGTTCCTTCAGCGAGGCAAATTTTCCCTCCTATTTCATTTGTCCATCTCCCTCCACGCTGCGGGTCTACTTCCTTTCCTCGCTGCGCCCGTAGGTGTGGCCGCCCTGTGGTCCGGTCTGCTCCCCACATGTGTTGCATTCTCACCGCAGCGGCGATCCCGTCCCTCCCCTTCCGTCTCACCTCTGTGCGCATGCCGTCCACCCTCCTCTGGTGATCTCCTTCCTTTCCTCGCAGCACCTGTAGGTGTGCCCCGCCGTCTGGTCCAGTCTGCTTGCCCCTCCATGTGTTGCACTCTCACCGCAGCGGCTGTCCCCTCCCTCCCCCTCCCTCCCCCTCCCTCTCACTTCTGTGCGCATGCCGGGTGAGAAAGTGTGTGGCAGACGTGCAACCTCAAACATCCTTTCCCATCACCCGGCTGGTGTGCTCACTGGGCAGTTCATCAGATTTAATAAGTCTGGGACAATCGGTGGGACTTCCAAACTGCTCAACAGCGCTTAATCGCCACAATGCCGCTACAATGCTTTCTTGTGTGCAACCATCAACTAGCTAACCCTCCCATAAAGCTAACGGCTCAACTTTTTAGTGGCAGGCCTTGCAGGGGTGTCAGTGCCTATCGGCAGGGTCATAAACCTATCTTTAAGAAGTATATAATTTATTAATTTCCCATTGCTTGGCGCTTAAGGGGCCAAAAGATCTTTAAGGTCTAGATGAGCCTCATCCTCATCCTCACCCTTGCCCACCCCTCTCCCCCCCCCACCCCCCTGGGACATATTTTTCTGAATTACCTGGACTTGGGCGGCTATGCGAAACCTGGCCATAACTCTCAATAGCTGTCACACTGTTCAGGGAGGCGCTAATGGATGGGGAGCGGGGGGAGCTGGTTGAAGGGGCTTGCCTAGCTTTCTGTATCATGCCCTGGTCATTCTACATAGGATAGAAGGTGAATGTTTTGGTTCTACTACATACGAGTTGCTGAATGCACTCCCTTTTCTAAGATGGATGGCCTGCAATAGACCGACGTTATCACTCACGCGATCTCACACGTATGACGTAGATCGTAGCCAGGTCGAAGTCCAGCGGAAAACAACGGGAGGATCATTAAAAATGCGTGCTTCAACAAATGTTCGCAGTGGATTTGATGCTGTTTGAGTGCATTTGATGCCGGCTCATTAATCTAGGGGCTCCAGAAGATGGGTTGCCTTCGCACTTATGTAAATGGACATTCTAAATCCTGAAATGTCTTCTCGAGAGCCTTTTGGGGAAAGCTTCCTCTCTCTCTCTCTCTCTCTCTCTCTCTCTCTCTCTCTCTCTCTCTCTCTCTCTCTCTCTCTCTNCTCTCTCTCTCTCTCTCTCTCTCTCTCTCTCTCTCTCTCTCTCTCTCTCTCTCTCTCTCTCTCTCTCTCTCTCTGTGTGTGTGTGTGTGTGTTTGAAAGAAAAGTGCATGTGGCCAGTGAGGTGAATCAATCTTCTTTCTACTGTTCCTTTGCGAATTTGGTTTTCATGTCTGCTCTGTTGTTGAGACTTACTATCCATAATGGGTGTCCTTCTCAGCCTGGTACAAGACTGATATTTTTCAGGCCTTCCAATCTCGTGGTTCCGTGGGAATAGGGCCGACTCACCCCATTTCTTTCTTCACGGCTGTCGACATGGAAGTCAATGGCTGGAGACGAAGAATCTGGATGACACCAAGAACGCCTTCCTTCCTCCCTCCCTCTCCACCTAACCCTACCTTCTGGCACAAGCCCTAAATCAGATTACACTCTCACCCAGCACACTGTGCAAATCTGGACCGCGCAGTCACTGCAGTGTGCAAATCCAACTCCGACTTACTGCGCAACTCCACACGCTGTGCACTAATTGAGCACCCACTGCTGTCTTCTAGAGATCATGGGCTTCACTCGCTCTGCACATTGCATGAAAGATGAAATATGGCTGCCTGCAGCAGCAAAACTCTGTGGGAAGAGAAACAGGGAAGCAGTTGATTGAAAGCAGTCTGGTAGAAGTTTCTTGTTTTTTTTCCCTCTTAATAGTCTGACAGAAAGTGACAGTAGAATTGGTGGTCCCTGTTTTGTTTTGTTTTGTTTTGTTTTGTTTTCTGGACAGTAGAATTATTTATGGCCTCGGTAGATATTTGCACGGGAATGCTAATAATACAAATTGGGATTGGGGGGTGCTGCTTGCCGCTCTTCCCCCCAGATGTAGCGAACTGTCAGTATCGCTTTGATCTAGACTTAAAGTTGTCCCACACACCCGCTATGGTGACCGACGACTGTGTTTTCTATCCGGCTATGGTGACTGATGACCGTGTTTTCTATCCGGGGAAGATAGTAGGCTATCACCTACTTACACGTATTGCAGAATCCATGAGTGTAACCGTAAATGAACTTCCACTGTGGAGCAGCAGTCTGCTCATCGTCGGGTTGATCTGGGGCGCTTGAGTTCTTTTGGGTATCGGTGTGTCGATGATGCCGAAGCTCTTTTCTTCTCTACCAACTCTTGGTTTTGTATGCTGTGTCCAGTTTGGATGTACTCTCTCTTTATGGGAAATTGTGGGTGCAATACTCTTGAGTTTTGAAGCGTTGTGTATGCACGTCTGCACTCTCACCGAAACCATGCTGTCACAAAAAACGTGCTCTCTCTCTCTCTCTTATGCGGTGAATGCAAGGAGCTACACAGTACTGAGATAGTAGATGGTAGGTATCTTCATAACCGCACAGATTTAAGAGAGAGATATGCTATTACCCTGAGATGGATATGTGCATTGCTCTGAGATAGATATGCTATTGCCCTGTGATAGATATGCTATAGCAGCCTATTAGCAGGTCATAATGCACTGGGTCCTTGTGTTCTTGAAGTTCTTTCATACTTCTTTATCAAAATGGAAGCACTGTCTTGGCTATTGGCTATGCACGCGCCCATCATGCAGATTCCTGTATGTGACAAAAGGCCTCACCTTTTCTTTGTTTTCTGGGGGGGAATTGTTGGGGGGGGGGGGGGGGCCCGGGGGGGTCCTGACCATCATTTGTCACTCGTAAAAGCCTCTCTTAGTATGTCTGAAACTTTGAAGCTGCTTCTGAATTTGACAGAGCCTGGTGAAGTATGAGCAGCAGTGGAAGCAGCAGCAGCTAGAAGAGCAGAGTCAATAGAGTAGCCTGACCGTGGCGTCTAACTAGTTTCCTTTGAAGAGTCGTCGCAAATGGTAATAACTATTGGGGGGGAGGAACCAAAAACATGGTCTATCGTCTATCGTTAATGCCTGCTGGATGCACGAAGGCTCCTCTTCGCATGTCTGAAGATTTAGAAGTTGGGAAAGAGAGGAGAGAACTTAGAGAAGGTTATTTTTTCGCGAGCTCCAGGATGTGATGAATTGACATCGCGATTGTGGTAATTGAAACCACAATAATAATAATATAATATTGTTGTATAACTTTTATTATATAATAATATAAGAACAGGAAATAAGTCGTACTCGAAGTAGGTCATTATAGTGGGGTATTTTGGGGCAAAGTTTCAGTCTAAATTCAATGATAGCTTGGTAATGACCATGTGTACTACTCCGGTGAAGACGGCAGCCATGGCTGGAGAAAAGATCAGTATAGATTTGATGCACTATGGTTTAAAAGAGGGACGCTGTATGTACCTGCCCATCGGGTGACGCTCCCCACTAATAGATTGGAGCCTGGAGTCCCCTGGACAACATTAGAATGGGTCTACAACATGAGTTGGCTGACTCGGCTCATAGCATCCCACGGAGTAGCACCGACCCAGCAGTTTTCTGGTGCAAAAAAAAAAAGAAAAAGAAAAAGAAAAAGAAAAAGAATAGTACTGTACTCAGGATCTGGTTTCGATCTCGCTCTCTCTCTGTTTCTCAAAAACCATTAGTGTGTAGGACTGTGTACCATTCAGCCACCATGCAGGCAGTGCCTTCTTCGATCGTCCAGGATTTGCTTAAGCTTTTTGTTGCTATCCCCCATCCCTCAAATCTGACTTCACTGGTCTGCTATGTGTGTGTTGTCATATTCACTATACACTCAAAAAAAGCACGACTATGCCAGACTGTTTCATCGGACACAGACTGTGTGTGTACACTAGAAAAAAGCATGACTATGCCAGACTGTTTCGTCGGACTTTCACCGACTGTGTGTGTGTGTGTGTGTGTGTGTGTGTGTGTGTGTGTGTGTGTGTGTGTGTGTGTGTGTGC